AAAAAAAAAAAAAAAAAAAAAAAACAACCAGAAAACAGGACCTGCAGGCAATTCATACCCACATTAAAGTTTGAGAAGTACTGTCTTTTATTCTACGATGCCATTCCCCTTCTAGGAGGCATCCTTAACATGCACATTGAACCATCTCCAAACTATCTCAGGCAGAAAAAGATCGACCTTAATTTTCAAATGAGATGTTTTTGACATGAAGATATAAATATTCACTTATGTCTTCTACTCATTGGTTCTGAGAATGATTAAAAAGTTTATCTAGATAACTTTAAAGCAGTTGTAAAAATGACTGACACTTCCTTCTGATAATAGCAAAGTATGTTGTTTTTTGGTGAGTAAGGATTAGGTAGTCCTTGGGAAGCATATGTGTTGGGCTGATTGGAAATGCTCCTATTATTTATTATGAACTTATTTTGTGTTTGACACAGTGATAGGTATTTTATATACTTACATTAATCCTCAAATAATGTCATTTAGGCGGGTGTTTTTATCTCCATTTTACGTGTGAGGAAACTGAGACTCAAAAAGTATAGGTTGTCCAGAGTCACAGTAGTGGTTAGAGTTCAGCCTGCATTATAGCAACACAGACATCAAAATGCAGTGGTTGAGACAAGTGGCTCTGTCCTGAGGGGACAGGTGACCTGGGTAAGAGGTATCGGTGCTCTCTGAGGTCACTCAGCTTTCCGGTCCCATGCTGCTTTGTCACCCCAGGATGTTATCCATATCCATGTGGTTGGAGCTGATTCCTGCCTTGGGAAAGGGGAAAGGGAAAGTGAAGGGCATGCAGTTTTCTTATGAAAACATAATCTGGAAGTTCTACCTATCATTTGTATTCACATTCTATTAGTCAAAACTTGGTCACATAGCCACACCTAACTGCAAAAATAGGAAGAGAAATGTGGAAACTTGGGGAGTTATTTACTAAAAGGAAGAAAGCGAATGGCTAATGGGGGAAAATTATAGGCTCTGCTGTAGGCACCTAGCTGATTAGTGGAAGAGCCAGATTCAAACCCTATGACTAAAACCCATGATCTTCCCATCACATTTTTCCGCCACTTCTCATAGTTGACAGTGAGTAAATGTTTGTTGAACTGAGATAGATTGAGATATCATGTGTAAGCCTTTTTATTGTTTGAAATTATTTCTTCCTTCTCCCTTGCCTCCCTGATTACTTAAGTGGTTCTGCCCAAAGTGTCACTATTTTTCATGATGTTATTTTAATGTATAAAACAGAAAACTGCTATTCATCTTTCTTCAGTAGAAATATTATAATAATCTACCAATTATTAGAGGTTCTGTAGAACTATATGAGATGTGATAATGGATTAATGATACTTATTTTTTAAATGACCAAATAACTATTTCCTTTAAAATAGGTGTAGTCTTAGGGGAATGCCATTGCTCAAAACATTTTTCACATTTTGTTTTGACTGACATATTAATCAGCTCTTGCTACAATATTGCTTCATGACACCACCGTCAAAATCTCAGAGGTATACAGCAAAATTTAACTCATGTATATGTTAGTCTCCAGGGGGTCAACTATTTAGGCTGATCCTAGCTTGCCAGCTCTGTTTGAGATATCTCTAACCCTTCTTTGAGATAGCAGACTAGCATGAACTTATTTTTCTCTGGCAATGGCAGAAGCATAAGAGAACAAGTGGAAATATTTGAGGGTTCTTGAAGCCTAGGCTGGGAACTGGCCCAACCTATTCGCTAGCCAAAGCAAGTCATATGGCTAAACCCATGGTCAAGTACCACGGAAAATGTTCTACACCTTAATTAAGTAAGAGAAAATACAGTCACATGGTAAAGGACTTGATGAAAGACAGGGGCCAACAAAGCAACCCACCATTGCTTTGCCTTTAGCAAGCTATTTTTCGTCTTATAGTGACAGAAAATCTTTATGGGTAGCTTTGAATTCCTTTCTTTTTTTTGTTGTTGAGTAAAAATAGCTATGTTTATGCTTAGAATAAGAGAATCATACTAGATTTATCTTTGAGCAGAAAGGTAGCTACTTAAGCATATAATACAAAATAATGAGATTTTGCTAGAAGAATTGGTTTAAGAATATGGGATTTGGTGGCAGCATAGTTGGAATAAATGTATAGCCGTTTAAGATGACTACTTTAAAAGGAAAACACTCATTTGCACATTTGGTTCTATAATAGTTTTTTAAAAAATAAACCTTATGACTTATAGTCATATGTTACTACTTTGTTTCAAAGTGGGAAGAAGGGTAAATAGAGTCTAATCCCCTGATCCTTTGACTAACCCTGGAAAAATATGTTTTATTGCAGATTCTCATTGCCAAGTCCCCTCTAGCTCCCTTCATCTCATTTGTCTACACCATCAAGGAGGAAGGCCTGGTTCTTCAAGGTAAGGTCCTTGGATCAAGCTATTTCTTTAAGCTGATTATGCTCAGTGCTGTCCATTGCGAGTGGTAATTACTGCTGTGGTCCTGACAGAAGCTATTTCAGGACAGAACCAAAGGCCAAGATGAACTGGCCAGTGATATTTACCGTGATAAGATCAAGAGATTGGCATTTGTGGCAAGAATGTGACAGAGAAGACTGAGGTGGGGATGAGGGAGAACTATAATTTCAAAACAGAGTGAGAGGCCAGGCGCGGTGGCTCACACCTGTAATCCTAGCACTCTGGGAGGCCGAGGCGGGCGGATTGTTTGAGCTCAGGAGTTCGAAACCAGCCTGAGCAAGAGTGAGACCCCGTCTCTACTAAAAATAGAAAGAAATTAATCGGACAACTAAAAAATATATAGAAAAAATTAGCCGGGCATGGTGGCTCATGCCTGTAGTCCCAGCTACTCAGGAGGCTGAGGCAGAAGGATTGCTTGAGCCCAGGAGTTTGAGGTTGCTGTGAGCTAGGCTGACGCCACGGCACTCTAGCCCAGGCAACACAGTGAGACTCTGTCTCAAAAAAAAAAAAAAAAAATAGAGTGAGACAACCAAAAAATGGGGATCAAACCAAGAAAACTAGGAAGTACCAGCACCCCAGTCCTCTTCGCAGATTCTGTGGAGTGAACTGGTCCATGAGTCTCTCTCCCACCAGTGTGGAGCGGCCAGCTCAAGGAACTGGAGAGCCTGTCAGGGCCGGCGCCTACAGGGCACTGTGTCATGGCTTCATGGGCCCTATTTCCCTGGCTGCTTCTGGTTACTGTGTTTCCTTTCCCTGTGCTGAAGTCCTGACAGGGCCCTCCTGCTGAGGACCAGGCTTTGTGGATCATTATCTTGTGACATGGGCCTGGGACTTGAAAGGAGCTCAGTTCTTGCTCAAGGTGAAGCACCTCAAGGCCCCAACCTGGAACTTACTGATCTACAATGGTTGTTCATTCCCAGATGCTGGATACTGTGGTGATAAGGAAAGACACCTGACTACAGGTCTTTCCAGAAAACAGTTAACGTGAAGGAGTAAATTCAAATACCATTAAACTTAGAAGAATCACCTCACAGGGTCAGATGTCCAAAACTGCTTTGTGGATTAAAAAGGGTCCCCTTAGAAGTGCTCAGGATACACATCTGTCCTCTACTGTCAGGCAGGCCCTACCCACAGAGATGCATAGGTGCACATCTGGCCTGAACCATATTGCCATTGCTGTGGATGGGAAAAATATCTACCTTGTAGGATTATGTAAGTTGAGTATTTTTCCCAGGTTTGTGAAACAAGGCAGTCCCTACAATATCCCTGTGGAGACATTGCATTGCGAAGATCTAGCTGGGATTCTGTGGGGCAGGACAAAGAGTTCATGCTTCTGACTGAGAAACAGGCTGCAGCCTTCCCTTTCCTTCCCCTTCCAAAATGTCTGCTTCTTAAGGGACTTGCACAACAATGTGTTTGTTTGGCAAAGCTGAGCTCCACAGCAGGGACTCTTGGGTCCACGAAATTTGGGGTAAGAACTACTGACCTTTGGCTCTTAGCCTTTGACTTATGCTATCCAAGTTCCTTGGTAAATATTTTTTTTTACAATTGCAAATATTGTTTTCTGACAAAGAAGCAGAGATTTTAAGACCAGATTAAGCAAAGCAAACAGCAGGCCCCTTTGTTACATACTTTCTGAGGGTGTATAACTAATAAGCAATGAGAAAGCTGGACTTTTATTTACCCAGTGCACAGTGTAGCTTTCAGCTCTTCATTTTTAGAGGCTTTCTTAAAAGATTAGAAGTCTAATAAATAGCAAGTTTAGATGAAGAGTGCAAGAAATCCTATGGAGGATTACCAGATAATTTCAGGAGGGAAAGTGTTAGTTCTGCTCAGATGGCTTCTATTGAGAGCCTTGCTATGATGCTTGTACCTTGATCACTGGGCATTTTGTGAAATAGCATTTTTAAGCCTGGTGTAATTTGGATAACTTTTGGGATAATATTTGTCAGAACAAGATTCACTCAGTTGCCTTCTGATGCTCATTGCTGAGATCGTGATTTTAACAGGGAAGAGGAAGCTGTTTAGAGAAAATAGAGACTGGAAATACAATGAGTTGGTAGAGGTTAAAAACTGCAAGGAATAGCTGTTAGAAAAAGTTGGAAAACAGGGGACAAGGTAGATTACTAAAGGAGGCTGACCTGGAGCTGTGTGTCTAGGAAAGAGAAAGTCAGGAAAATATCTTATGATGCAAGAACCACAACCAGTAAATAAACTGCCTGGAAGACCTCAGAACCTCACCTGGTTGCTTTCTAAGTTGTTTTCTCTATTCCACTCCCCCAAGCTACACTTCCCTCTCTGAGGTTTTCTGGAGGCAATAGAACCCTTCTGCTCCTAGCAGCAATGCCACTGCAAACAAACCTCTTGGCACTCCCTGCCTGCTTGCTATGTGCTCCCAAAGACTTTGGGAAAATGAAAAGGAGATCTGCTCCCCCAGAAAAATGGGGTTTCGTCCTTTATTGGAAAGAACCTTTTGATTTCAGTTTCAGCTCTGGGGTGATCCTGGAAAATCTTCGGAGCCCTAGTTCTGTCAGCTTGAAAATGAAAATATTAACCTTAATTTAAGACTTCAAAAACTGCATTGCAACTCTTTGGTGGGTTGTGAAATAAAATCAATGAATCACAACCAGCATTTTAAAAAAAGAGCAAGAAAGAGAAGAAGAAGAAATAGAGAATAAAAAATATCAGATTATATCACATATTGTATCATTTCATAAAATATTTGTTGTACGATTATGTGTGTACACATACACATTATGAGTTTATGTATGGGGGTTGCAGTATAAAATGTTTTTCTTACTTAGACTGTAGTAACCAGCCTGGGTGATCTCAATGGCCTTCTCACTTCAGCCTTATCTGATTCTCCTAGGAGATGATGTACTTATCATTCACTTAGCTCAGCACAGTTGTACCCTTGAGATCTACGCACACTGGAACATAAAAGCTTATTTTTTTCCCCGTTCTTACCAGATGACTGAGCTAAAAGACACCTGCACAATTCCCGAGGTTTAAAGCAAAGAAACCCTTGATCTATGGGCTGTAAACTTGGAAAGGTACCAGCAGTCAAGGCCAAGAAGCTCTCCTTGGTGAGGGGTTGCTCTGGCAGGGTAGCCCCTAGCTGGCATGGAGGTTGGCACCTGGAACTCTGGGTGGGATGTGCAGTCCATGTCTGAGGGGCTTAGAGACAGAGAGGGGCAGGGCTGGAAGAGTGAGGGCAGCTCCTGCGCTACCAGCTGAGAGAGGCTGCCAGCCACTGCCGCTGACATTCAGCCTTAGGTAGAGCTGCCTGCGTGGACTGGTGGGAAAAGCTACCCGTGGGGGTGGGCGGGGGGCTGTTAGGAATGTGGGAACGATCCCTCAGTGCCTTTCATCCCTTTGCAAGCCCCAAGATTCCTACCGGCCTGTTAGCCAGGGGGTTTTATAATACCTGAAGAACTCCTGAGTGCACAAGCAGAGGGAGGGAATAAAAGGTGAGGACAAAATTCGATTTACCAGCTCCACAGGCCATTCCCCTCACCCGTTCTCAAGGATTAGGATGCTGAGAACAGTCGGCAACTGGGGGCCTTATTCCCTTCCCTCCCCTTTGTTCACTGAGATGGGAAGGACAATAAAACGGCAGGCTGGAGAGACTGAGGGGCTGGTTAGAGATTTCTCAGGCTGCTTTTTGAAACACTTGAAGGAGCCGGTCCATGCTATTGTTGTAGTAAAATAGAAAGCGGAACTATTCTCCTTTTGCAAAAAAAAAAAAAAGAAGAAAAGAAAAAGTAGAAGAAAGAAAACCCACCCTCCCAGCATCTTCAGGAGGCTAGACTCAGGGCATTAGCATGGTAATACCATCCTGTTAGCATCTTCTTTGTCTGGGATTACAGGCTCTGGTGCCTGCACTGTAGATGCTGGGAATACTTAGGCCCCAAAGGAGAGGGAGCTTATAGCACCAGCTTCCTCAGTGTTCAGACTCGCAGAGGGCCCAGGTCCCAGGCAGAGAGTTCAGCCCTTCTGTACAACTGAAGTGGGAAAGGTGGGGTGGGAGGAGGATCTCATGAATCCATTTTTTCTTTTGTCCCCAGAGTTCACCATGAAAGTCCCAGTGCCCACCAAGTGGAAAAGCTTAGAGGTTTGGCTAGCTTCTTAGAGTGAGGCTAAGGTTACCGGGGCCTAGTGGAGAGGAAAAGGCTGGAGCTGGCCTTGGAAATCAGCTTTAATGGGGTGGCCCATAGAAGCACCTGGCTGCAGAAGGGAAGGGAGAGTTTACAGCAAACCTGACTCGACCCACATCTCTCTAGTGGTGTCCTTTGTTTCCCCAGCAAGCCCCAAATGTTGTGCCACCCAGAACACCGCTGCGACCCAAGGCCAGGAATAAAGACCCTGTCAATGAAGGCAGCCAAGCTGTGTCGCTGATGTGGTAGGGGGCCTGGGGGAACCCAGGTCCTGGCTCTCCTGGTGCCGTCCCGGTTTTCTTGGGGCTCGTGGGAATACACGCCCGTGGACTTGGTGAAGCAGATCCTAAAGAAGGAAGAGGTTGATCCAGCAGGGCCCCCCTAGTTGACTCCTTTTCCTCAGGAATCTAGGGAGCGTTTGAAAAAGGAAAGCCACGTTGTTTTGAACAGGACAGAAGATGTTTTTATATTGTTTTTACAAAATCAAGCTCAGGTATGGTGGGTTGAATTTGGGTTCTGGTGCTGTCCGCTACTAGTTTAGGTTTTAATGAGCAGCATAAACCTTGGGAAGGGACCAGGGAAGCTCAGAGGAGACCAGGGCACCCTGAAATAGGTGCAGAGAAGGTGCTGGAAACAACTAGTTTCCCTTTTCTTCAACTGCTTAGTATAGGATCCAGAAGAAAACAGAAAACAATGATTTTTTTTTAGAGCTGGAAAGCTATGTGCCTCATCTTTCTTGCTTTGCTTTTATAATCAAGAACGGTTTGTTTGATTGCCTTTTGAAGCATATCGGGACAAGTATTAATCTCCTCTATTTGTTCCCTTGTCACAAACTTGGGTTAAATTCTTCCACCCCATTTTTTTAGTCACTGAGCCAACTGGGTGATTTATTGAAAAATTCTTTTCCCCCAAATACCACCATTTGAGTTCATCAGATTTCAGTTTCAATCAGTAACCCATAGAAATGTTTTATGCCTGCTGGACTCAAAGTGACCCAGAAGATTCTCAATGTTTCCATCCCGGTATGGAGGTGTCTGTATGGTAAATATCAGCCACATACCTGGCACAGCCTGGCATTCTTGTGGGAACCTGGGCAAAGAGCCCTGGAATTCAATGGAGCAGAGAGAATGAACCTTTCTCCCAGAGGTCACAGAGAAGAGGGCAGAACAGGGGTGTCACATTGTGCTGGGGTGTCACACTGTCCCGGCCTGCCAGGTGCCACTGCAGTCTCAGAAAGTTCATCTGGGCCAAGGCATTGTCCTTCACTCCTTCCGCCTGCCTCTTGTTGTGGGGCTTCCCGGGGAAAGGAGGAAAGGACTCCCAGCTGCCCGGGGCTCTTCTCTTTTAACATCCACTTTACACCGCTCCCTCCATGGCACCGTCCCACATTGGCCCTCTGCTTGGCTCACTTCTTTTTCTTCGGCTATTAGCCTCAAAGAGAGATTTTGTCAATGTGGAAAATATTTTTAATACAGAATACAGAAAATCCTAAAAGAAAAGCCATAAGTCTAACACCCAGAATTAACAAATGTTAAATTTTGTCCCATTTGTTTCAGATTTTTTTTTTTTTTTTTTTAGACAGAGTCTCACTGTGTTGCCCGGGCTAGAGTGCCGTGGCGTCAGCCTAGCTCACAGCAACCTCAAACTCCTAGGCTCAAGCGATCCTTCTGCCTCAGCCTCCTGAGTAGCTGGGACTACAGGCATGCACCACCATGCCCGGCTAATTTTTTCTATGTATTTTTAATTGTCCGATTAATTTCTTTCCATTTTTAGTAGAGACGGGGTCTCGCTCTTGCTCAGGCTGGTTTCAAACTCCCGAGCTCAAACAATCCGCCTGCCTCAGCCTCCCAGAGAGCTAGGATTACAGGCATGAGCCACCATGCCCAGCCAGATTTTTTTTTTTTAATTACAGGAATAAAATGTGACTAACTTCAAAACTTTCTCCTCATCCTGCACTCCTCCCCAGAAGTAAAAGGTCTGCAGGGTTTGGTATACATCCTTCCCCTCTGTTCTTAAAGACTTTTCTACATATATGTGAATCCATACTTAATGATTCCTTTTAAGTGCACTCTTAAATTTGCATAAATGGTTTATTGTATACATTATTTTACAACTTGCTTTTGTCTCTTAACATTATGTTTTTGCAGTATAGCCATGTTGATACACCTAGATCATGTTCTTTCACTTTAGGTATCCACATCCATTGTATGAATAGACCACATGTTATCCACTTCCCTAATTATGGAAATTTAGATTATTTGTAAGTTAATTAATTTCATCGCATGTGTCTCTCAATATGTAGATATGAAAGTTTCTCAGGTATATGTCAAAGATGGAATGACTGGTCGAAGGCTATGCACATTTTCATCTTTGCTGTATCTACCCAAATTGCTCTCCAAAGAGGTTTACTAACTTACAATCCTTCTGGAAATAGTGAAACAATTTCTATGCAGCTGTGTATAATTATAAATTCACTGTGTTTCCACAGGCAATCTTCCTATGCATTCTTGTGGATGCCTCTTTTGTCTCTGCCATTGGAGTGTAAGCTTTCCATAACCTCTAGTGGGATCTTCTGCACAGTGTGTGTGCTTTATGTATGTGCTTTAGGTTAACAATATATAATTTCCCAGAAAAAGAGCTTTTAGTCTTCTACATCACCCTAGTTTTCAGGTGAGGAAACTGAGTTTCAGAAAGGTGAAGTGATGTTCACAGCCTTAGAAGTGGGTTTGTAGCCCTTCCCAAATACTCAGCCTTGGCTCCTAATATTTTAGAAAATCAGAAATGGGTTCATCCTTACATCCAACTTCTGTAGCCACTTATCTCTCAGGCTTCATGGACCTCTGTTGAGATACTCCAGGCCTGTCCCGAATCTTGAATCTTGAAATTCTAAGCTAAAATGGATCAGTCACACTGATACAACCATCCTTTAAGGCACTCCCTGAGTGTAATTTGGTTATAAGTTTGGGTGTAACCACAACCTAAACTAACAGTGGTGTATAAGGTAGAGGTTTACTGCTTTCTCACATAGTACCGTAGGTCCAGAGTTGGTATGGCAGCTCAGCTCTACATGTTTGTCCAGGGACCCAGGCTATTGGCTTGCTGCTCCGCCATATGTAGGGTATTGCCTTTGTTGTAATGGTCCAGAATGGTTCAGCATCGTGCCCTCCATCCAGGTAGCAGGATTTGTGTGGGATAGAGAATGGTGGGGAGGGAAAGCATCCCTTTCCTTAACCAGAAGTTACACACATTATTTCTGCTTATATGATGTTGGCCAATCTATAGAGGTACGGCAAGAAAGGCTGAAAATGTAGTCATTAATCTGGGTGGCCATGTACCCAGCTAAACCTTGGGAGTTCTATTGTCATGAGAGAAAAAGGAAGAATGAATATTCAATGACACAACCCTCTCAGAGGAGGAGCCCAGTTGCAGAGATTAGGCCCCAGGATGTAATAATACACACCCATGATTGGGCTTGTTACATAATAGAGTTATACTCTTCAAATGCAGCATAAATATAATGTGTTAAAGATGCCATCAGAACCCTCCTTGGTTCCAGAGTTTAGAGCAGAGGTGTAGAATTTCACAGTCAGTTACTTTACCAAGGATCAGCACACAAAAATCTTGTTCTCCCCACCCAAAACAGAATCTCCTTCAGGCAGTAACTTTAGTATGTGTTTTGCTATCGTGCAGTATGCAAGAAGCTTGAACGAGAGCTATTAGTACACATTTTTTCTCCAAAATATTTTTCTGTTTCCACTTTTTTTTTTTTTTGAACATGGAACAAAATGTTAGAGAAAAACTTGATTCCAAAGCCTGGACGATAGTTAGACTGGATTCACCTCTCTTTTAGAACCTGGCAGCCATTTGGCTATCTTTGCAGAGTTAACAATTTGCATTTATGAAAATGCCCAAGTAACAATATCAAAATATGTGAAATCAATTCAGGTTGTTGATTTTCTTTGAAAATCTCTTCCAAAAGTACTTGGTATTCTTTCCAGAATATGATTTAAGCTCCATTTCAGTGAGTTCAGTTCAGCAATTATTTGTTGAGCATCTATTGTTCGCAAAGCATGGTGCTCAGAGCTCTGGGAATATGAGGTTGGAAAAAAAAGTACCTTCCTTTTAGGAGCTCAAAATCTAGTTAGGAGAGATGTAGTTAAATAAGTTTAATCTAAAGCAAACTGTGACACCTATTACTAAAGTTCAGACAACGTGCTGTGGAAGGATAAGGGGTCTAGACTCATTCCAACTAGGATGACTTGAGGAGGGTCCCTGAGAGTATGTGAGACTTGAGCTGGACTTCAGCTTGGGAATACTGATGAAAACCAAATTCCATTGTCTCTTGAGAGAGGCAAGTTTCTTTTGCTGTTTGAGGGTAGATTTGGGGACACTGGGGAACGCTGATTAGTGACGAATGTTCGATCATGCTGACTAATGTGTTCTAAATGGATTGACTCAACAATAAAGGGAACATTGAGAGTCAAGAGTTCAGATCCTGAATTTCACTGTGCGATGAAGTGTAAATCGCTTAGCTTCTTACTGCTTAATTTTTTTGTCAATTAAAATGTGCTCATGATGACAATCCAATAAGTCACCTTGACGAGTAAATGCTTTACAAACCTCAAGATAACAGAAATGCTTAACAATAACCCCCAGGACAGGCTTATGCAACCTTGGGTCATTCACAGTACACACAGAATCAGAACATCCATCACATGCTGCTTGCTAGCCATGCGAAACTTTTATTTCCTCACACATGCCATGAGAACTGACAAACAGTGAACTGCACTCACAAAAACTGACAAATAGAGGAGCTTTTGAAAAATCTTACTCTCTACCTACTGGGGCGTCTGTGTCTTTCTACAACAAATGTCGCCACAGAACTAAGAGCTTGCATTGCATACACAGCTCTTTCTCTTTTTTGACATCTCCCCAGCTAGACTGCTTGAGAACCTGGCCTTCCATGTCCAGATGTTTACTGAATTCTGAAGGCCCCCCAAAGAGCCCAAGTTCTTTTGTTGCTCTCCGAATCATTTCCCACAGAGACTGACCGATGTCCTGAAGGAGCCCTTCAATAGGAAGGATGAATGAAGGCTGAGGAAGACATGACCCCCTGAGGCTTGCCCACATCCACCCTAACAAAGGGTCTGAGGCGCAGCCTTGTAAGGAGTGTTTTGGTCAGCAGCGTCCCTATGAGAGGCCAAATCTCCCCCACAGGGCTGCTTTCAATGGCTACCATCATAGTGGAAGTATTGGGCATTTGTTAAGGGCTGTGGTACGCTAGGTGTAGCACAAAACATCTAAATCATGGTCCCCTGCCTTTGTGAGGGCTTCCTGGCTACAGATGGCAGCTGGCTTTCTCAGGGGAAACTTGGGGGTAGTGGATAAAGCCGAAGAGGGTCTTCCATTTCTTTGGATGACCTCTTCCCACCCAGTGCAGCTAGTCTCCCCTTTTGTCTGTAGCTATCCAGGGGTGCAAGACCTTAACCCACACCTCTGCTGTGCTTCTGAGTGTCCCTGGTGTCCTGGTGTGCAAGGCGGGTGGCTCTGTGGGCAGTAGCTATGGAAGAGGCCTGCTGCTGTAGGAAAAGTTTCATTTAGATTGCTGGTGGGAAGTTAGTGCATGTCATGACAATATTTTTTTCCAAACTTTCTTTCTCTCTCTCTTTTTTTTTTTTTTCCTTTTAGGCCAACAGAGGCCATAGGGATACTGTGACCTTTGTCTAGAGCTGATGGGGGCGTGATTTGTGAAATAAAACAGGACCATGCTGCTTGGAAGAAGGAAACGGAAGCCAACATAATGGGGATTAATTAGTTGATTGCTGTTGAGATGGTAACAGATTTGCTCCTGGACCATTGAGCCAGCGATTTCAGACCTAGCAGGGAAGGTGAAGATGAAGAAGCCTTTGTTCAAGTCTCTAGATGTGTAGGGCTGAGGGCTTTGCCGCCATGGGATGTCAACAGCCATAATAATAATAATTTGCACTTATATAGCACCTTTCAACCAGGCACCTCAAAGCGGTTTAACCACATTAATTAATTAAAGCCCACAGTCCCCCTGGGGAGAGGAGGAGGATGACTAACAAGATTTGTAATTACAGGAGGGAACATTTCCGAATAAAGTATTGTCTACCAAATAAAAAGAGTAGGTGTAAAGGAATTGGGATCTCCAAAGAGTAACTGATTCAGAAATGAAGTGATGGGGGAGGCTGGGGGCGGTCGTAGGCATGGGGGTCTGCCTTGTGCCAGAGGGAGGCCGAGGGACTCAGAATTCACTGACAGGTTCAGATCCCGCCAAGAAATGGAGCATGTATGGTATTAATGGCATTTGAAGGTCATTAGTGGCATAACTATTGTAGTGTAAATTCAAGTTTCATTGGTATATTGTGTATATCCCAGTGGAACAAAGAGAGAGATTCATACAGAATTTAATAAAGGATGAAATGATTTCTTTAGATTTAAAGCCCAAAGCTGGGCCAGTCAATTAGCAAACAAATCAAGTGGTGACCCATAGGATAATTTAGTCGTTTCCAGTAGAACACCCAGCCCACCCACTCCTACTGCCATGAAGCTTCTCACTGAAGCATCAGGCTGTGTTCAGTGCAAGGTCTAAGGGCTTCAGCCCCTTCAAAGCCAGGCATTAAATCTTTCCAGCCTTTGGCCTGCGACCCCTCTAACCCAAGTTGTTAGTGATCTCAAGCTGTCCTCTGTAGAATCACTTTCTACCTGCTCCCCCTTCAGAAGATTTAAGTGCCTTATGGGCTAGAATCAAGTCTTATCCTATTTTGTGTCTCCTGTTAGCCCACAACAGAGTGCTTTGCACAAAGTGGGTACAGGTTGATGAAGAATGGTTGAACGACTGAGTCCTTCAACAATTCAATATTTTTGAGCACATACCAAGGAGAAACTTGAAAACAATAGGATGTGTGCCCATCCTTGAGAAATGTATTACAAGGAATGGGAAAAGACTCATAAACTACTAACTATAATGTAAAGCAGAATCACAACCAAGGCCTGTGCTGCAAGAGCAAAAGGAAGAGCGTCTTACCAGCTGGAGTGAATCAGGGAAGGTATTCCTGGAGAGCAAGCAGGTGTGCTGGGCATTGGAGGGCAAGAAGGATTTGGGTAAACCTGGAAGAGGCTAGGGAGGCAGATAGTCCAGGCTTTGGCCATGTGTCTCTGAGTGAGCTACATTTTGAGAACCTGTGGTATTCAAAAAAATGTTTGTGAAAACCAAGGTGAGTTTTTGCAACCGATTAAATGTATATTTCCTTGGAATTCTTATGACATGAATTGGCTAATTTCAAACATCAAGAGATTATTTGAGAAACTGGTGATGGGGTTCAGGATACACTACCCCAAGATATGGCATGTTGGCATTTGAGAAAACAGCAGAAGCAGGAAGATCACTATCACCTTCCCCTCACCCCTGTTCTCCTGAAGCAGGTCATAAAACCTTCATTCCTAAGGTGCTCATCCTACACCCAGAGGAAAGGAATATCCTTATCTGTGAAGACATGGGGACAGAGAGAAGAATATGGACAGGTCTTGCTAAGTTCCCCCCAGTTTATTACCATTAGATCATACTCTTTTGTTCTCTAATCATATTTATCCATAACTGTCTACTTGCTACCAAACCTCAGCATAAAAATACGCAGGTTTTCCTATTTCTTTGGGTCTTTGTTTTTGAAGGCTCCCATGTCATTTAAAATTTAAATTATTATGCTTTTCTCTTCATTTGCTATAGAGCCTTAGCCATGAACCTTGCAATAGGTAAGAAAAAGATGCTACTTTTTCTCCCCTACAATGTATGGTGCCTAACATGGGGTGGCTGAAACACTTCACTCATTCTGGAGCCTGCAGATGAGATCCTGGGACAACTGACAAAAAGCCAGTGAAATAAGAATTCTTAGCAAAATCGGCTGTCCCAAACTGAGACAGAGCAGGGACCTCACTTGGGGGCCTGGCCTGCCAGGCCCCCAAGCCTGGAAATAAAGGAAAAAATCTTGAGATCTTTTAAGGGAAATTCCAGACACCTAGCTAGCCTTGAAAAGTAGATGAGCAACCTGCTAAGCAAGAAGATGTAAAATAGTCTCCCAAGCAAGCCAGAGTCACAAGGTGTTTTGGTTCCCTATAGAAACCAAAAGATAACATCTTAACATATGTTATTGAGTTATTTTTCAGAAACCCCACCAGATGGAAAATGCTGACCACTATCATGTAGTTCCTTATGGGGGAACTGAGGACTGAACTCTGACCTTCATTCTCTGTTCTAAATTTCTTCCTGAGGGGCTTGGACAGAGTCACACTCACAGGCGAAACCTTAACATTCCTTTCTGCTGGCCCCAAGTTTTAGACAAGGCTTTGCTTTCTTAACCAGTTGCTAATCAAAGAATCTCTGAATTTACCTATGATCTGTAAGCTACAGCTTCAAGATATCTCACCTTTTTGGGCCAAAGCAATGTATAACCTCTGTGTATTGATTTACAATTTTGTCGGCAACTTCTGCTTTCCTGAAATGTACCCCTGCCTTTTTTAAAAACTCTAGCTTGTGATCCGTCTGGGAGTTCGGGTCTTAAGCATTAGCTGCCCATTCTCCTTGCTTGGTGCCAAGCAATAAATGCCTTTTTCTTTCACTACAAATCTCAGTGTCAGTGTCTGGCTTTACTGCACTGGGTAAGCAGACCCCAGTTGGGTTTGCTAACAAGATTCCTATCTGTAGTGCTCAGTCAAGAGAGGAAAATAAAAGTTTCTCCTTATCCCTTCCTTCCCAAATTCAGATTAGCAGGAGCAAAACATTTGTTTGTATTGTGACTCTCTGGATAAATTTGATTTCATAGTTCCCATTTGCTATTGATCCTTTCTTTCCCAGGGACAGCTATCTCTTTCCTTGTTTGTCTCGATTTGTGTCCTGATAACTTGGCTTGATTTTCTGCCTGTCTGGGCACACAAGTTGTCAGTTTTGTGTATGTAGGTGGCCAACTTCACGTTGGGGTCCCCAAGAATGTGGCCAGAGAGAAATGTGGGTTTCACCCCATTTGCAGCTATCATAACAACTGTTGTCAGCTCTCAGAGGGGGAGCTACCTGTGTCTTTCTTCCTTTTGGCTGTCTTTGGGAATGGTTCTGGATCTTGGGAGGGCTGCTTCTTTTTGCATCTTCTTTTGAGGATGTTTCTTTTGTCCATGGTTAAGTCATAAAAGGCTTATTAGTTTTGGTTCTGAGTCACTTAATAGGTACTTTGGGTTTAAAAGAAGAAAAAGGTAAATAAATGTATATGTTCTTCTCTTGTTAATCTGTCTTTTGTTATAGATATCTCAGCCATGAACCTTGTGACAAGTGAGGAAAAGATATTTAATATTACTTTTTCTGCCCTACTTTGGGCAGGATGTAACTTCTCTGTAACTCTTAATTTGTTCTCTCTTCACTTTCACTGTCTACCAAGAAAGAAAAGCTAAATAGTTCACACATTAAAATGGATCACTCAAAAGTGTTTGGAAAAAGTAAGAGGAAGACATATCCCAATCCCAAATGTCAAAGATTAAATGGCTTCCTCCTTGAAACTACCTTTTTGACCCCAGGAAACACTAAGACAATACCCTACACCCAGTGATTGACAAATCAGTACAGTACTCTCCTGCCCAAGGCCCACCAGAACTTTTTGTCACAAACCACACTACAGGGACTGGCCCTAAGCACCACCTCTGCATATGGAGCACTTGCTGCACGTCTGATGCACACTTTGCACATATGAGCTTTTCTAATCCTTCTAACGATCTTATAAGGTAGGAGTTTGTATTAGTCCTTCTTTACAGATGAGGAACTGAAGCATGAAATGTTCAATCTTTCGCTGGAAAAGATGGAATGTGGATTTGAACCCAGGCAGTCCCTCCCTCCTCTCTCACCCCTTGCCCATGTAATATTTCTTTTCACAGCTATTCTAATCCCTCTTACTCATCCTCAGTTTACAAAAGCACTCAGCACAATACTATACACACAATAGAATGGAAACTTGGGGAATATTTTCCAAATAAAAGAAACACTAGCAGCAAAGCCAATAGTTTGATCTACTCTGAGCAGTGGCTGCAGAAGGCCTGGGCAGTGGTGCTGAGAATATGCTACCTCACTGCCATCTTCTCTTTTTACCATTATTAAAGATTAGGAGACATGCACAGGAAAGTCGCCCCAGGGAATGTTCACAAGAAAGAAGACACAGGTGGTATTCTTCCCCATGAGATGAAAATCTGCCAAGCTGGTACTACCCATGACATGCTAGTGAGGCATCTTTTATTGTTAATTACTTTTATTGAAAGTAATTAATGATGCAGTTTAGAGATTTTTTTTTTTTAGATGGGTGTATATATATGTATATGTGGGAGGGGGACAAAGTCCAACTTTGTCTCTGTAACTGTGCTAGCCTTCCAGCCATTCCATTGAGGTACTGCAGTCCTGGTGAAGATTCAGAAGGGTGTGGTACCCATCCACTTATAGAGTAAACATTTCTGGACTAACCCAGAGAGGCTAAACTCTATGCATAATGTCTTTTGGGTTGTGTTGTGGACAAAGCAAAGTTACTGCTCAGAGACAGGACTGTAAAAGTTTGTCCAGTAAAACCAGGCTTGCCAAATGAGAATTCTGGAAATGGAGGATAATGATTAGGTAATGGGGGACAAGTGGGTGAAGGCAAGGAGAAGTGCAAAATTATCTGATTCTGGCCTAAAAACTGTGGTCTTAGAACCACTTGGAAGTGATGGAAGGAAAGTGCCATCACACTTCTCATCTGAACTAGGTCCTAAATATGGGAGAAAACACACTGCCTACTTCTCTGAATTTCAGTGAAGACAGGGTCAGATGGAACACAAAATTGTCCAAGAACTTTAAAGAAATCTGGGAGGAGAGAAAACTGATAAATCACTGGGTCCAAGTCAGGACAGACTTGGTTTTGCTGCCTAACAAACAACCTCGTAAAATCTCAGTGACTTAAAACAAAGTCTGTGCTTGTCTGAGACTCTCCAGACAAGCCTCCTCCATGTGACGACTCAGTACTGCACTTCAGTATCAACAGGCGCTTCCACAATCACCACAGTAGGGGAAGAGTGGGGTGGAGGAGCAGGGAGAGAGAGAGAAAAAGAGAGAG